TTTGGTTTCAACCTAATCCATGAAAACACATGGTTATGTGCAATTATGTTTAGTGAAAATAGATAATTGGACGGAAAACCTGTGAACAAACCATTCACTATTCCTTATTAGGAACGATCGCAAATATAGGGGTTTTATTCGGGGTCAACATGAAATCTTTTCACACAATTTCTTCTCAAAACTATTTCTCTTTCTCAGTTTGGAGAATATGAAGGACATTACTACGGGACGAAACTGGACAGTATTCGACAGGTGGTCGGTTCCGGACGGACATGTCTACTGACCTGTACAGTTCAGGCAATCCCAAAGATCCGAAATTCGGAGTTCATGCCGTACGTCGTGTTTCTGGCCGCTCCGTCTGTCAGTTGTATGAAAGCCATGTACGAGTACGGAATGAGTATGCGATTCACAGACAAATGGAAGCGAGTAAGTTGAGATGTTACAGTCGCTCACACTGGTATGATTTATCATACGGCATAGATTCTGATGGACAGAAACGACGTAGGACAACAGCGTTTCCAACCAGGATATATTAGATTAAGGATTTCTGCATATTTATTCACCAGCTTTTTTGGTTGTAAGATTCAAGTCAAACTGAGGCGAGTGACTTTGTGCATACCGCCAGCGTTTATCTTTTCAATCTGTCACTTCCCCATTTTCACTAATGAATCACCTGTTACTTCCTCTGGTTGTCATTTTAATTACGCAGATAATGTCACCATTTTTGACCAATCCGAACCCGGTTTTAGCAACACAAGCGCATCTCCTCTTCTGACATACTTCACTTCACCCGATTTTAATCATGACCTAATAAATTTCTTCAGCGTGTCTTTACGGTAAGCCGATTCTCGCTTCTGTCTTAAAGCGTACAGATTAAAATAAAACCCATGAGTGAGACCCGTGTTACTCCTGAAAGTAATCTTCATACTGCAGTGTTTCATCCTGAATAAGATCATCCAGTTACAGTGCCCTTCATTCAGCAATATGTTCTCCGTATAACCCTTTACTACTCGATTACAATTTTCCCTAGTCTGCTGATAAATTTAAGCTTATGAAGCTTGACATTACAATGGTCACCTGTGCTTCTTGGAGTGCCTTATATTTTCTGTTGAGGAAGATTTGTAATGGAAATGTTAGTCGTTATCTGAAACTAACAGACGAGACTTTGCCTGATAGCATCTCATCATTGTGCATCGTTCTATTTGCATTTAAAATCTGTCCCTCTGCCCACTGATTTATCCCAGCTGGCATATGCGCATACAGAAAGCCCTTGATGCTTTATCTTTCCAGGATTCAAACTGACATTAGTTTTGAGATCCGCAAGTAGTTGGTTTACAGTTTTTGTTATTATAGTATTGCTTTCAATTTTTGGCCAGTATAGGGCGGTGGTGGTCGAGTGATTACGGTCATAAGAGCAGTGATTTGGAGTTCCTGAGTTCGAATCCCGGAACCGCCGTTAATCTTCATCATTTCCTTAGGCAGCCCTCTTGTAACTGCGGCCTTTTCCTGAAAGTTGACTGTTCATTTGCATACCTAATTACTATAAAATGAAGCAAAAATCATTTATATATATCATATTTATAATATTTCTGTTAAGTTTGGTTGAAATCTTTTGCACCACTTATGTAGAAATTTACCCTGAGGAAAAACCGATTGCTGAGAAATACAACAGGCAAAACATCAAAAATGTCTGTGGGGAAGAAGAGCCATAAACAATGTTCTCCTAAATTTCGAAACCTGATGAGCCCCTCAGGGCTTGACATTCAGTAGTTTGAGCCTGATAGATAGTTCAGTCCCCTGAAATTAGCCCAACAACAAAAAGCCTAGATTAGCGCATGAAGAAAAATACCAACGTGGTAATCAGGTTAACGGGTAAATTATTCAGCACATAGTCTGTTAACAGCTGAGAGTCTTTTGTGCTGGGTGATATAGAGCGAACATATCGCCTGTTATATCCGTACTTTTTTGTGCTTCGTGTCCCACTCCTGGGATCATTTGATGACACTCGAATCATCGTTTGCTTTGCGCTTGTATGGGCCACTAGCATCGTATGATTGTGATTCCACTGAAGTGAGGATTTTGGTCGGAAAATAAAAATTCATTCAGAGGTGGTATTCCCTCTGTTTGCTTGTCTATTCTATTTGGTGAGTGGAAATATTTCCGAATTAATATACCTCGCTTGTGACTGGGAAATTACTAAGCCTCAATCAGTCTAGCTATGGAATGAAAATCTGGCAAACCCCTCAATTCTCAAACTGTTGTTAAAGTTGCTATACCCGGGGTTAAAAAACAACGCGATAGGTACGTATCAGAGAAATAACAAGTAGCATGAACTAACTGGTTTGTTGGCAAAGTGTCAAGTAAACTGTGGCTAGCTATTGATTTGGTGCTGATCACTTTACACTTGTGACTTGGTCTCGTAAATAAATAAGGGAGCAGGACGTGCCACATTGTCGAGCTCGAAATAGCAATATCCCCGGTTATTGTGACAGAAAACGGACAAGGACGCAGTCGCACAGAGATGGGTACGTATGTGTTAGGGACAAAGAAGCAACAAGGTGGATTGATTTACGCAGAACGCGATTAAGAATAGTTGGAGAAGGAAAAAATCGTGTCAGATAAATGTCTACAGTAATTCACCCTGGAATCTATTTGGCCATTTTCAAGGGTAAAAGTCAGAGATGTGCAAGACCGCTGCGGGTAGAAAGGGAAGGAAATCTTCCTAGAGGCACGCGATGTAAGTTCAGGAAAAAAGAAGGCCAAGATTTAGAAAAAGAAATCGATAGAACTCTAGAAAATGTAGGATAGAGTAAATTAGAATGAAAATACAGTTTGAGATCACGGGTCTGTGTTTTGTGGATATAAAAATGAGAGTTTTGTTTGAGGCATTGAAAACTACACGAGTTTTAGTGTTTTGAACATCGGTGTCTCTCAGGTCTGAATTGGGTGAAGGACGCGCAGAATATTACACGTGAATAACAGTCGTATATGATGTGCGCGAACGGTTATAAAAGAGAGGTGGCAATATTGGGTGACATAATCGGCTAAAGTATGAATTGGATTTGGAAAAAATGTTAGGACATCGTCGACAAGTATGTGAAAGTGTTGGGTAAAGCACCTTGTGGTACTCGGAGTTCATTGAAAATTTCCTCACAATGACCTTATCAGCAAGAAACGAGACTGAACAGTCACAATGAAAGCTTTGTTTCTGAGAGATAAAACACTAGGAGATACAAGCCTTGAACTTGTAAGAGGAGAAAACGAAGGAAGCGGGCAAGCTTGAGCGCGTAAGTCTTGATCACGATTGAGAGGATACCATCCGAAACGGGTGGCTCGGATGTAGCTAACGAACGCACCGCCAGATGAATATTCCGTTTTGTGATTTGGGAACGAATTGTGAAATCACAGTAGGCGGTGAACAATGGATGAATGATTAACAGTGTCCACCAGTTGACCCATGGTAGCGCTAGAGATAGTACCGGTCTTCCATTGACTTCCATTATGAACCTCAACTGCTAGGACCTCTTCCTCTTGCCTCCGATAATTAACCCTAAACCGATCCAGTGACTGTGAATTTGTAAGCACTTTTCCACTGTATAATCTAACAGCATGATTAGGAATCACCGAAACTAACTAGTTCAGAGGTGTTGTTGTTCTACGGGCTTGTAGAGGTAAGAACAAACTTGAATATACCTTCGGTAGTAGTTTCCACAACATTCGTGACTAAGGCGGACGGGTAGGGAGGAAATCCACAAACACCAGGAAGCCACTTCAGTAAATGAACTTGTAGCACCAGATTTTGCTACGAGAAGGAATTGTTTGGACGATGCGTGGAGTGTGAAATCAGAAGTTATAAGCCAATGGTCCGATGAGTCAGGATGGGAATAAACACAAACTAACGACTGGATAGATCAGCTGTTTCCAATCGCAAATTTTTCATCCTCGTATCTTTGGTTGTCATGGCGTGTGCAAACTAGTCTCTTTTATGAACTTTGAAATCGCTTGGAGCGGCGATCTGGTGTCCGAAGCCGGATCAAATAAATAGTTTTTGAATGACAAACAGATATCTCTAGCAGTGCATAACAACAGCATATTATTGATTATTACTACCGATTAGGTGTATGTATCTGGGTAATCTGTTGTCAAATTTTTCTTACATGTAGGCTTCTATTCTTTTCACAAATTGCCCCTCTGACTCTCGGCAGGCGGTTCTTTCATATTCATATTATTTTCGTTATTACACCAAGTGTAAGCAGTGACGTTCATGCATGTGTTTTCTTGTTTCGAATCCCACAGGACGAGAATTTTCGACGCACTTTGGAGGCTAGCAAATCTATCGAACAGAACTATCGCCACTTGTTAGATTTGATTCTTCTCTGTGACAACATCGAAGCGAATTTCGAGCGCTTGTCACATGCGCTGAATGATTTGCTAACTCAACCGCAATGGGTACCAGCGAAATGGCTTTATTGATCGAACCCGGCCGATCTCTGATTCCACAGGCATTTGCTTGCTTCGTGTTTTTGTACATAGTTGAACGAGCTTGTCTCGTGCCCCTGCTTGTCAATGTCAATCATTGTTGATCACTGGCTGATTGTTCGCCGTTTATAAAATGGAGTGAAGATGATCAAATCATTTCAGAGAAAAAATATTTTGTACGCAATACGCATTGTGATCTGCAATATAAATTGTATTCTGTAATTTGTTCATCATGCTGTATTCACTTATCGAAGGGACACAAATATGTGCACACGGAGGCGCATTGTGATACTGTGAGATTCAGTGCCACAGCGTCGTTCATTTACGAAGTAAGAATACTTTTGTACCGGTTGGGGGGAGACGAACAGATGGGGAAACTAAACGGGTTCACCAAAAACAACAAATAGCCGCATATGNAACCGGTTCAGCAATTTCAAATGGGAATCATTCTGGTCAGGCTAACGAGATCGAGGTGACGTCAGCTACGTATTAAAAACCTAGTAGAATAAGGCGGATTGCTAATTCACATATTAATTCACGTCTTCCTCTTTGTTGGGACTCCAACGACTAGTCTTCGATTCAGGATTCGAAAATCTTACCCGTGAGCTACACGTTCGCAGGGTGGTACATTAAGTGCATGGTTACACTAATTAAATCTAAAACGTTCTGGTTTATCCCAGGCGAGTTCACAGATGCCCCAGTTTATGTGCTATTGTTTATTTGTGAGACCAAACTACAGTACACACTATATATGCCTCCTTATCAGGACTGAACAGCTGCCCAGTACTCTATGTCAGCCACCCCACAACTTATTATACTACTGAAGTGTTGGGCTTTGAACTTAGCTTGTTTAGACATGCCTATACAGCTTCTCTGTGGTTCAGAAATTTTGGGGTTTTCTGTCGAAATCTTCAAAGAAAATTCGTCATCGTTAAAATATCATCGCTTGTTATGAAACTTAATGAGTCCCGGCAGATAATGTATGTGCTAAGTGGAGGCGAACTAGCGACAGTTACATGGGTAGTCATATGAGACAGATCAAAACCCGATACTATAGTAATTACAGGTGAAGTTACACCTAGACAACGCAGTTAGGTTAGTCATTTAAACAAACACGAAAGTAAGGTATATACCAAAGAGAAAATGATAGATATTTGTCGTTAGGGTAGAGCGGAGAAACATGCCTCATCCAGGACGAGATAGAGATTTGGCTAAATTTCTCAACCACTTTCGTAATTTGCACAGTTTGCGGTCGTGATTTTGACCTCACCAATCAATCACATTTGTTACGCAGCCGACAGTTTTCTCATCCACCCGTATACCGGCACGTGTAGTAGCGAAGGTGCACTACCACAATTCACTTCAACCACAGAAACCTGATCATCTGCATCAGTAAAGTGAAAGGACGCTAACGTAACCGGCTGACTGAACACATTGCAGTGTGGATTCATAGACCAATGAGCAGTGGAATTTGAATCATACTGTCATCTGCCAATTTTGAATCAGCGGTGACGCAACCTCTTTAGGATGATCAACATTCCGTAGGCTCTAAACGTTACTATTAGGTTTGTCTACCATCGAAGAGCAACATTACCAGTCATGTGATCCGCGTCTCTGCACCCCGTTCACTGTCCCGTGACTACGAATGTGTGCGAGTATATTGTTGGTTCGGCTAATATTTCTTATACCAACCTACGCGATTAATTTGCCCGCACGCTGTGTGCACGTGTGCAGAGATGCAGCTTTGGATACATTGCTGTTGGTTTCTCCATTCCCATTTTTGGTCTGTGCATCTTGAAAAAAAAATTGGATAGATACGAATCTGAAATATAATTGTTTATTGGGCACTGTGTACCTGTGTGTACCTGTACGAGCACAGCGAATTAGATTGCAGTTTAAGAGGTCATATATTCAAACCATTGCACTGAACACGTGACAGGAAGAATTGTTTGAATCAAGGGGAAGGCGGAGTTCACTTTTTACATTCTCCCTGTTATTGAATGCTCCAGCAAGATAGCACACAGGAAAATTTCGCTAAGTGTTGACGCGAGATGACGTGTTTGAATTCGGAGCGTGTGGAAGGATGGTAACGATAACAAGCTTATCCAGCGTGCAGATTCAGTAAACAATGTACGTGACGATCTAAAATATCGTAATTGAGTCCCTCAAGTATATTGAGGAAACGCTACTAATAATCATCGGACAACGGTATAAGACTTAAAAACCTTGATGGATTAGGCGGATCGTGCGTGTGAATAATTTTTCAGTAAAATAGTATATCTGAGATTGTGGGCACATCGGTTTCGTGTATATAATACACGAAATGATATTGACCCAACCGGTTTTCCTGAATTTGTCAGAATTAAAAAAAAAGCAGTTTGATGATGATGATGATACAACTCATCTGCCCGAAAAGAATCCAAATGGATTATGATCATGATCATTCTGAACTGAGGTATTCTAGAAAGTAGTCCTCCGGGTGTGTGAAATGCTGATAACCCTACTCCAAGCAGATAGTCAAGTGGCTACGACCTCGACACCTACCTCCATTATTCATGATTGAAACTCAACGCTCAGGTTAGGCTCCGAATTTTCTGGACTTCTATGATTTAGCATGCATAAAGGGCAACTGTCTTGAATCTGTGGATAGTGAGGGATACTCTTCTTTGAGCGTAAACAAACCGCGTCAATAGACGCTGGACACCTCCAATGAGGATCAAATCCAGGCCTCCGGAAGTCCACTCCATGGGCTAGATGTTTCAGTGCAGTAACCAAAGTCTGTTGATGTGAAATCTATAATGTAGAGGCATAATTGTGTTGGGAAATCGTGGTTCTTAATCGGTTTTCTAGAATCACACAGTTTAGGGTCATGGCATAAGAGTCGACTGACTGATTTATTTTGATAATTTCCAACTCAGTTGCAAAATGGCACCCCTGCTCATGATAGAGACCCTAAAGTACGCTTGACGGATTGAGGCTAACTTACTCGTAAGCAGATCACGGCAGCGGAACATAAGGTGATCAGGACAGTCGGGGTCAAACTTTGAAGGTTTGCTGCAGTTTGTAAACACTGTTTAGCCCATATACGAACGTCCTTATTCATGGATGGCCAGACGTATCG